GACCAAGATGACCAAGGTGACCGTCTTTTTCCTTGAGAGACATTGTGAACAGAGCTCCGCCACAGTCAGAGACGGTTTGTGGTAGGAGTGCACCTTCTCTCCCTGTAATTATTTCTCGCTGTAGGATAAATAGAGATACAGATCTCATTTCCAAAGCTCAACATTCTATTTGGATTTGCTTTCAATAAAATATCTATGAAGTGTCTTCAGCAAGATCCCTACTTAATGGGATTTAGTTGTGAAGCTTAATTCATATCAGATTTACTAAATGAGAGATCACTGTCAACTTATTGTTAATTGAATTCAATAAAATCAAGGTTTCTATAATTAATGTAACTACTTAATCTTTTAGCTCCATGAATGAATATAATTTTCTGAACATAGGTTCCTTCTCGGTCAATGAATTAGTAACATCTCGGGGAAAATAAATGTATTGTGAGTTCTTTTTCTAATAACTCTTAATATCAAGTTAAGTAAATCCAAATATTTAAAACACTGCATAATGAAAAAAGCAAAACATTAAGCTAAAAATGCTATTATGTTTTGAGTATCAGCCAAAATCCAGTGCAGTAATAATTGAGAAGTGGCTTTCTATAGCTGCTGAGTGCCTTTTCCCCGAGCTGAAGTGAACAAGCATCTTTTCAGTCCATAAAGAGCAGCTAGAGAGAGCCCAGAGCCCGCAGTTCGGTGTTGGAGACTGCGGAGTCCCACACCGTGCGTTTGGGGCTACTTTCAGGCGCGTAGGCAGCACGGGAGCGGGAGCGGTGAAAAGTCTGCTTTACCTTGACTTCTTAGAGATGCCTTATCCCTGGAGCTTCCTGCCCTAGGCAGGCAGTCCACCGAGGAGACTCCTCTCCTCCAGCTGTTGTTTACTGCTTATGTAACCTCAGAGAGGAGCATTGTGACTCATGTAGCTTTGGTAAGGTTCCTGAGCCTCCTCTTTCACTGATCCTTCTGTGTTCCCCTCCTCCTTGCAGAAGGGAAAGTTCCAATTCAGAGGATAAACTGTAGGCAGAACAAAATGTTGTGGCTGCAGTGCCAGCCCTTGCTTCTGACTCCCTTGACGCCAACTGCATTTCTGGGCCTTGTTTGTATACATGAGCTGAGAGTGTTGGGCGAGATGCAAAGATGAAAGTTCCTCTAAGTGTTAATTCTCCGATTCTGTGTACTGTAACACAATGTCAGAAAAATTTCCTTAGTTTTATTTGGAGGAGTAAGTGTCCACTAGAGTTGATAGAGCAGTTAAATGAACATGCAAGGACCTGTCAAGCAATTCCTAAACCCACTACTTTGTGACCAGTCATGCCCCCTCTGCACTTGGACCTACTAACTGCACTAATTATCTTAAACAAATTAGACACATTGGGTTCTTATTAGTAGCATGACCACTCTGCCATCTTTGTGCCATCTTTGGGACTGATTTGTCCCAGTGGTGAGTTCTTGTAAAAGTGGTAACTATGACAACTGGAATGTTGATCCTGATACAGTAGACTGATCTTACTCAAATGCCCATTCACTGGAACGTACATGTGTGTGTGCGTGTGCGTGTATACACGCGTGCAGGGGCTATGCAATGTTCTCATGTGTAGGAAAGTGTGTAGCTGCCAGTGAGAACCGTGATTGGGTGGAAGCTTTTAATGGGCTCTCCACAAAGCCTGTTTGTCCCTTGTCCCTTATTTCTTAAACGTTATAGCATCCGTGTGGAACCAGAAATGTGTCTTTTATCTATCCCCAACACATTCTTGAGTTCTTAATTTGAATGAGGCTGAAGGATATCCTTTCAAAAATCTTACCTTCTCTGGTAAGGCTGGGTCTCAGATAATGCATTACTGTGGTTTTCTGCAGACATTAAGAACTCATTTCCTTAGACTCAGTAGGTTTCTCAAGAACTGTACAATGATGGAGCCAGGGAGGTAGCTAAGTGGGCACACTTACTTTACAAGTGCAAGGATCCTAATCCAAACTCCATCACACACACACACACAGAATGCCAGGCATGTGGGTACTTGTAAATTTAGCATTTGGGGTAGATGTAGGCAGGTCCACGAATTCACTGACAACTCAGGTTTAGGGAGACCCTGTCTCAAGATAATAAGGTGATGGCAATAGAGGAAGACACTTGTCCTACACATGTAGCACAGGCAAGCATGCACATACTCTTCCTGCTTAGGAAGTGAGGACAATGAGAGCAAGAGTTTGAGTCTAGTCTGGGCTGTCTTGCCAGTCTCTGTCTCAAAAAAGCATCTTGAAGTATAGGTAAAATGGAAATTTAGATAAATTAATGATCGAATGTTATTTAACAACTTTCATCTTTATAAACATCAATATATTTATGATTACTGAGCATAAGTTGGTTTATGTAAGAGGTGTTCAAAAGCTGCAAACAGAAAATGTGCCATATATATATGGCACATTTATGTGTGTGTGTGTGTGTGTGTGTGTATATATATATATATACACATATATACATACATATATGTAGAGGGGGGAGGGATAGATAGATATGTTACACATTCTTCTAGGTTGTCGACATACATATTTATCTCTAAAAGAGTTGATGTAATTCCACAAAAAATTCAAGCAAACTAAATATCAAACGCTTCACAGAAGAATAGACATTAGCAATCAACATAAAAGTAGATGTTTGCCTTTGCTAAGACTAAAGAAAGGCAGAAATTAGAACAAAAACTGAAATTTAAGAACTCCTCAAATGGTCACAATGAAAACTCAGTATTAATTCTGTATAGGACATTCTACCGTGGTGTCCTATCTTCCCCAAAGGCAGCAGAGCCACACAACTGTGGACTGAAACTAGGAGTCAAATAACTTCTTCCCCTTTGTAAGTTTATTTTCTTCAGCTATTTTGTCTTGTTGGAAAGTTGACTAATACACCCAGTCATTACAAAATTAACACATAAGCAGTGAGAGTCCCAGCATGCAGCTTTTCTCTACTTTAGTTTGTAACCATTTTAAAGACACAGGGACTCCCTTTTCCAGAGCTGTTGGCATGCTGTATGTCCCTCTTCTCCACCCTCCGCTGAACCATGCTACATACTATATGGTCCTTCAGATTCTCATTTACAGATAGTTTGCCATCTTCTGCTGTGTCACTGAGCCTTACTGCCTTCACCAGGTGCCACTGAAGGACTATCGTGTCACTGTAGACAATGCCCTCACCATGTGTCATTGCAGGACTACTTCATAGCTGGTGTTTTAAAAACATTTCTTTATTGCTGAATATTTTAGGTTGATTATGTAATATTCTTCTAAATTCAGCTATAATGAATATCTTAGCTTCTGTGTCCTCATACTTTGGTTTTTCTGTGGTTCAGATTTCCAGCAATGAAACCATGAACTGTATCATCGAGTAGATATATTTTTAAATTCAAGAAACACTGACAAACTGTTTTCAACAAAAAGCTGTATCAAGTTATATCACCAGCAAACATGTATGAAAACCTACCTCTTTTAAGGGTTCTACTTCTAAATAGTACCATATATGACAACCAAACCTTTAACATGTGGCCCTATGGGGACACTTAAGATCCAACTCATAACAAGTTGCAATTCTTATATAATGTTGGGAAACAAAAGAAATTATAAATGTGAAATAATCCAGTTGTGAACCAAAGAGAAAGAACTTGGTTACAAATTTATTGCAACAGATCTCGATACTTGTGGCTAAAATGAAATAAACAGAAAAAGAACACCTCTCTTTTGTTGTTGCATTAATTGTATCTGGAATATTTAGTTGAATGATTTCTCGCTGATTATTTAACTCATTGTTTTTAATTGATATGTTTACAGATGTTGGGTGACAACTCTTGTATAAATACCTCCCATTGTGACTTATCTACTGTAGTGTCTCCCAGGGAACTGACTGGGAGTGGGAGTTAGAATGGAGATACAGATCTGCAGAGCAGCTCCCTCCTTACGTAGCTCCACAGGCAACCTGATGTCATGTTGATAAAGTTTGCCTCTCTTCTGTAGTTCTTTCCCATTGTGCATTGTTGCTGTTTTAGTGAGATGCTGAAAAGAGCCAAACTCAGTTCCTCCTTCTTCCTACTAATTTAATTTCAAAGGACAAATTCTCCAACCCACATAAGTGCACGTGGATGGACCCAGCAACCCAGATTCACATGCCCAATCAGTGGCTTCTAAGTGTAAAGATACATTCTTAAGAGTTGCCCGTGCATGATAAGAAAGAACCAGCCAGTGAAGAAGGATTATTTGGGAAGTGGAATGGCTTTTGCCATCTCTGCTTACACAGCCTTGTTTAACTTCCTGGTAGTCTATGCTGATGACCATACCCTAAATCAAGACTTATTGCTGAGCTGTACCAAAGATACACAAAATAACAGAAGCAGAATCACTTGGGATCTGAAATACACCTAACAAACTCAGACTCTTGCAAAATAACTTACTCCAAATGGAACTGAGGATTGCTCAGCGTACAATGAGTCACCCTTGGGCGAGTACAATAGAACTTGTAGGGGCATTTCAAGGCCTCTGTTCAATTGTTAGAACGGTTTTTACCTTTTGCTGCTCTTGTTGCTAAAAACCACACAGTGAAAACTTCAGAGTTGCTGCTGCTGTAGTTCTCTGTGCTGCCCCCTCGCCTGTCCTCCCCCACTCCACACCTACCCCTACCCCTGCCACCACCCTTGCCCCACCCCACTCCTCAGCTCCTATCCTGTTTCTCTACCCAGAGCTGCTTTGTTTCCCCCCAACAATCTGGAATTACTTAATGCTAATGTTTTCTGGTTTGACTGTTTACCTAGGACCCAAATGTTAAGTGTTTGTGTGGGTAACTCCCTTTTTCTTACCTCCTAGCCTTGAATTTACTTAACTGTTCATTTGCAAGGAGAAGCTCTCATCCTTCCCTCTCCACGGCTGCACTCCGGTGTTGCTGTTGTTGTTGTTGTTGTTGTTGTTGTTGTTGTTGTTGTTGTTTTAATTGACAAACTTGGTTTAGCTTAGTCTCTGCTTTTTCCCCCCAGGAGAATTTAGAGCTACCACTGGATGATTCTGAAGTGATGGAGCCTTCGGCGGCGGCGGCGGCGGCGGCGGCGGCGGAAGTGATTAAACACGAGTATCATGTCCTATACTCTTGTAGCTACCAAGTGCCGGTGCTTTACTTTAGGGCAAGCTTTTTAGGTAAGACCATGTCTAATACAGAAAGCAAACGTATAAAATTTGCATATGACACAAGGAACATATTTGTAAAATCGTGAGAGGGGAAGAAAATAGAGGTAAAAATAAAAAGCTGTAGGTGAGGTAAGGTTTTACCAGTAAAACTTCTCATGCTTCAGAAAGAACAGACTTCATAGTGAATGATATCATCCCAGCCTTAAATCTGAGCTTCACATTTTTGGCCTCTTGCCTGATGTTGACTAAGCCCCCTGGCCTTTCTTGACTTTAAACAAGTAGGAACAGCTTAAAGCTGCAATGTTTATTTACTTCTAACTTTGCAGTAAAAATTTCTTTCTGTCTCAAGTGATGCCGTTAACTCAAAAGTTTCTGGACTTCTTTCACCAAGAGCTTATGGTTATTACAAGAAATGTTTATTGGTTAGCTTAAGGTGTATTTAAGAAGAGCGGTAACACCTCCGTTAGCCATGTACACATCTCAGATGCCTCAGTGTCTCACTGTGCTGTCATCTAACTCATTCTCCTTCCTGGAAGGTGTTTCCTTGGAGTCCCCTGCTAATGAAGCTTATTTAGTGACAACCACATGGCGTCCTCATACTGCAGCTTGGGGACACCAGGGAGACGGCTGGGTATGCACTGGCTAAATTAGGTCAACTTCTGGGTACTTTGGACTCAGGGCTTCGTCCAGCCTACCTCTTACCTTGTGTCTCTTTTTGCGAGTGCCTTTCTCGGCAATACTTTGCTTTTGCAGACTTTTGCATTTGCAGACTGCTAACTTCAAGATAGCTACGACATCTGAATTTAGCCAATGATATTTTATTTTTAATTAAAAAGTAGCTTCAACTGCCTTGAGTGTGTATTTGGTGGGTTTAATCACTCGCCGCTTTGTATTGTTTAATGGTCTCCAGTTTTGCAGTGCTGGCAGTTTAACAAGCACTTACGATTTAAAACAAGAGCAAATTCTTAGAGACTCCCTGGTGAGAAGATTTTAATCTGAGGTGCAGTTCCTAAAGAACTGACAATTTGGGGTAAATTTTTAACCTGGGGCTTGAGGACTGAGGACACAGATAGTTTACTAACTCAACCTCTTATGCGGATTCATCCGTATGACTATTCCTAACCCTTAAAACAGCTGTTTTATTGTAATTATATTTGAAATCCAGAGGTTAAAGAGGATTTCGTGTCTGCTCTCTACTGAAAGGTGGGGGAGAGATTCCTTACTTAGGGTGGAGGTGGTAGGGAATGCCTTTCTGGATTCTAGTTTGCAGTCGCCCTATGTAGCGCCATCTAGATCCAAAGACAAGCCAGGGCTGCAGGTAGAGGACACAGGACAGTCATTCTGGTTCTTCAGCACTCTTCTTTCATATAATCAGTATTCACTGTAATCAGTTAATCACCAGAGACGAGTTTCCAGAGACAAACAAGTCCTCTAGCTTGTCAGCATCATGGATGTGAGGTGTTGCAACCACGGCTGCCTCTAGCTGGAAGTGGGTCTTGCCGAGGCCCGCTGATGAGCTCACACTGGCTCTGTGCTCTGCACGTGCCAACAGCTCCCCTCACAGCACGGCACAGTGATTGTTCCTGCAAGTCCAATTATCTCTTAACGACATTAGTGTGCTTCCTGCATGCCTTTCTGCGTGGTGATTTTAGTCCTTAAAACATACACACACAAGTAGCACTCCTGGTTCTATTTTTAGAATTTTAAGCCACCCTTCATGTGTGGCTGATAAAGAAAACCAAAGAAGGCATTTGTTTTATGTGGAAATGTATTCCCAACCTCTTGTTCTGTCTTGTATAGAATTGGGGTTTTTTTTTAGTTCTTTTTATTCTAGAATTCATTTGATATTTGTTTAGGCACATTAAAATATATAATTATTTTTATGAAGCATATTGAAATGTTTTCTTGTGAAAAAAAATGGAAAATGGATCATTGTTTGATCATTCGGTGTACTTTCAAATTTGGCTTTTACCTGGCTTAAACTTAGGGACCTTCTAAGAATGCACCATTTTTCATTTATAAGTCATTTTTTAAGTATTCTCCCTGATCCTGTCCTTTTGATGTCTGCTTAGCCTGGCTCTTCATGTGTTAACAATCTGATGGTGTGGAGAATGTATTCCTAATGTCTTCCTCTTATTCCAGACCCAGGTTTTTCTTTGTTTCCTTCCAAGAGAATCCGACCTAGAAACAGAATGCTTGTAAAACTTCTTGCCCAAGGGTCTTCTCCCCTTCCCCCCACCTTGACTTTATTTGGTTGTTGTTACAAAAAGTAGTTCATTTGTTTGTGACACAAGTTAGAGTTTCTTTTGCATCTGTTAGTAAAAATCAATTTCTCTGTTTAACTTTGAATTTTTTTCTATACATTCATATACATATATACATACACACACACACAAATGGGAAATGTCGAGCAAGGGTTTGGTAGTTCCCATTGAAATGACATCACTTTATCAACTGGTTTCGACTTCTTGTGAATCCATTTTGATTCTTGAAATGCAGATCCACTGTGCTTTGAGTTCCCTTTGCTCCTGTGTATGATCCAGTGTCTGCCTGAGACTCAGCTAACATGCTGGCTACTCTGGCTCCTCCCACAGCCTGTCTGTGACCTCCCAACAGACCATGTCATCACCTCACACTGCAGAATAATAACGGGTCTGTCTATCTGCCCCTACCAGATGCTCCTCAAACATATAAAAAGTAGTGAAGGGTATTAGTGTTGATTACCTACAAAGTGAGAAGCATTGATTATGGACGTGTGCTCGGTGGTTACATGGCATTTTAACACACACGCCATGCTCACCTGGCTAATTTTGTTATTCACATCGTCATCTCTAGGCAAGCATCAGCAGATGCTTACTGGATGAATCAATAGTGAGGAATCTGTAAGCATTTCTAAATATAGCCAAAAGACTAAAATATTGTCAATGTAATACTGTTCTCAGTGTTGGGACGGGGCATAAGGAAGAAGTGACACTGTTCTCTCCAGGAGACCTAAGGTCCACACTATTTATATGTCTTTGCTGTTGAAGCACTTGCTTCTCAGAGACTGTAGAGCTTCTCAGAGACCATAGAAATAGAAAGCTAAGGAAAATGGAACATTCTGAAGACCCAAAGCATGAATCCAGCCTCACTGAGCAACTATCCTATCTCTGTAAATGTGTCTTTATTTGATTCTTGAAGGCAGATGGCCACGGTCATGTAGCCTTTACTTCTGGATGCCTCTCTTATCAATAAGACCCCTAGGAACATGGTGCATCCTCTTTTCTTTTCCCGACTACTACTGAAACACTCTGCTGTCACAATTCTCCTTCTGCAGCCTCCTGAAAGCTTGCTTATGGCTGTGGTGTGCACTACCATGCCTAACCAGGAGCTTGGTTCCCAAAATGATAGGATAGACCGAAGCGAAGCTTCTCTTCACTGCTCTTGCCATTGTCTGTTTGGGCAGGCAAAGGTAGTAGTACTATTTATCATCAAGTGTTTGAGTGAGAGGTCGCTGCCCTTTCCTTTGAGATGCTGCAAATATAAACCACAACGAGTCTGGTTTTGAGCAGTGCCTTGTGGTTTGAGAGTCCATCCCCACAGAGCATCCATTGTTATCCCGTATATATTGGGGCATTTTCTTTTTTCTACCTTGTACATTTGCGGCGCTGGAGTTTTACCAAAGGTGGTGTATGTGCTGCTTGTGTGCTCGCCCACTTAGCCCACCCACTGCTTTTTAAGCCCTCTGCATCAGTTGTTTGTACCATGACACAGATGCCCTTTCTCATCATCTTTATTGTTCCATGGACATTTATGTCCCGGTTTTCCTTGATGGACTTGGCTGGGAGCAAATGGCAAATGTTGGAAATGTGGTTTAAAGAGTCTATTTATACCGAATGGCCTTGATCTCACCAGAGTCATGGGTTTAAGCACCCATCCTGACACCTTAACTGGAGATTTTTGTTTATTCTAGATTGAATTCTGACTTATTTCTTCCATTTCCCTTTTCTCTTTCCCTTTGTTCTTAATCTTTATTGAGAAATGGACCAAGTGGTTCTTCTCATTTTCAAATACTTAATTCTTTGGCTGACATATGCATTCTTCTTGGGAGCTGTTTTGACATACTTCCTTAATTAGTCAGAAGGGCTGTTTTAGAATAGGGACAGAAACATTTCTCCCATTCTGCAACTGAAGTCTGTCTTATTGGCCCAGAAAGCAAGGATATAGAACTTAAAATGTACCCCAGATACTTCCTGTGGAAGATTTGTTCAGTTGTTATGGGCTTAAAAGATGCTCACAGCAAAGAGGAATGAAAGAAGTAGCAACAGTTCACTCTCCGAGGTGGGATAAAACAAAGCAAGGGAAAGGTTCAGATAAAGAACATCAAACTGTGAAATCCAAGTACATAAGTCATCAAGGTGAAGGAAGAGGAGCGTTGCTTGAACCCAGAGCGTGAGGAAGTCTCTGGTTTGAAGTACACAGAGGAGGCTTAAAGGAGGAAGAAAGATGTGAGTCATGGGGAGTGGAAAAACAGAAGTCAAGGATTTGTAGCTCCATCTCAGGGACCTCTGAGGGACAGTGAGCGGTTCACGCCCAGCTTTGGGGACAGAGTGAACGATGCGTGCTTGGCTATCAGCACAGATGGAAGAAATGGTTGAAAAGATGAATGGGGGTCAAATTATGGATGAGCTAATGGGTAGGAAGGAGTTGAGACATAGAAATTGAGAAAGTGAGCTGAATTACATTTCCTAGAAACCATGAGATGAAAGGACAGATGAATAAGGAGAGTGAAATGCTGGACAGGACTGTGACGCTTCCGTCGTTGTCAGCGTTATTAAAATCTTAAAATAGCGACCTTTAACAAAAGATGGGCTGGAAAGAACGTATTTTGTATTTCCAGGATAAAATTCCTGCCGTTGAGTAGGAGTTATTTAGTAGAGAGAAAAAAAGCAGATGAGGCTCAAGCAAAAATGATTTCAGTTAATTATCACAATAAGCAGAAAATGGAAAATAAATTGACAGATAATTTA